CCCCAAAGCGGAGGGAGGCAAGGAATTACGGTGATGGGCTGGGCACACGGCCGCTGGAGACGCATCCTGGAGGCGGGGGGAGCCGAGCGGCGCTGGAGCAGCTGCGGGGGCGGCTGCCGCGAGAGGGCAGCGCAGCCCCGGCCCGGCCACCCCCGAGCCCCCCGGAGCCGCCACCGCGCCCGCCTCCGCCTCAGCCTCTCGGGGCTCCAGAGCAGAGAGCACCGTCACCCCCCCGCACTGGGCTGGAAGGGGTCTCCTGATGGAGCCTGAATTGGTTGCAGGGAGGATAATCAGCCCTTCATCAACCTCTATCCCCCTGCGGCTGTGTGGATTTTCTCCTGCCACAAGACCTTACAGGTGCGCTGGCAGGCATTTGAGCAGCCCATGGCGATACCTCGTGCCTCCCTGTTATTCCCTCTTGTTCCACTCAGCGCTTGGAGCTCTTTCCCTAAGGGCTTTAGTGGCAGCAATCCTGTGAGGGATGTGGGCTGGAAGCATCGCCTTGGTGGCAATCAATCCACATCCTCACCCCTCAGTCAGCAAGGACTGCCTTGCCTTTCCCACCAGCAGCCCAGTGTTGGACCCATCTCTCTGCCCATAGATTAGGAAGCAGAGATGTGTTTTCATGTGGATTCAAGCCCGCCTCTGCCTTGCCTGTTTTCCACCCAGAGAAGCTTCATTTCTCCAGCTCTCTGAGCCATTCCCATCACCACCGTTCAGCAAATGGCAGGACAAAAATAGCTTCTCTCCAGGGGCTGCAACAGGGCTGCTTGACTTGAGTGTGCTCTGCTTCTCTCTACTGTGTGAATCCAGGGCTGACTGCAGAGCAGGGGCTGCACAAGCTCCTCCAGCCCCCCTAGATGGGCACTGCTCCCCACCCTGAGCCACACTAGGCAGGTATTGCAGGGGAAGCCGTGGTGGACCCACAGCTATAGCCCCCTGCCCTTGAGGGCTGGTACAGGGATAGGAGACAGGTGAAAGATAATCAGGAATGGAAAGGGGAGAGATGCCTGGGCTGGGGCGCCCAGAAGCACAAGCCAGTTGTCCTCCCTGGGCTCTGCAGACATCCTGCCAGCCAGGTCCTCTGAGGCTTCCCAGCCCCAGGGCTACCAACACAGCCAGGACTTCTGCTGGAAGCTGTCTGCTGTGCAGCCTGGGGAGGGGGAGCATCAGGGCTGTCAGACCTGCTCACTGCGGGATGTACTGACACCAAGCTCCATCTCCATGGGCAAGGCAGTGCGGGAGCTGGCTGGCCAGCTGCTGCCAGGGAGACAGTCCTTTCCCTGCCTGCCTTTGCCAGTACAGACAGACCACGGCGCAGCAAGTGAGCTATTAAAGAACAGCTCTAGCCAGCCAGCAAACACATGCTCATTCATCATTCTGGAGCAGGCAGGGGGACGTGCCAACTGCTTTAAGCCAGGACCCATCACAAGCCTGTGTCCAATAGCTCAGCAGCCTGGAAGCTGACTAGGGGGCTCTGGACCCTCCAAAATGCCTTTTATGTTGTGGGGGTGCTGGGAGAGCTGCCCTGCCCCAGGCTGAGAGCTTATGCATTTCTGAGCCAGAGCCCCAGCATGGGATCATCATGCCAGGGACAGTTTGGAGAGGATGTGGCAGTTAGCATGAGCTTAGCCAAGGCCTGAGCTGCCCCCCATTTCCACCTGAACCAGGCAGGCAGAGCTGCACAGCTCTGTGTCTGGGAGGCTCAGGTCAGGTGAAGCAGAGAGAGAGACTGCCAGGCACCTGCAGGGAGCTGTGTGGATCCCACAGGTCACTGCTAGCTCTCTCAAAGAGAGAGAGCTGCCTACAGGACTGGTTTTACACCAGCTTCTCTCCGCTGGTGCTGCTGTCTTCCCACCAGTCTCCATCCCTAGTCAGAGCCCAGTCAGCTGTGCTGGGAACCAGAGTGCCCCAACTTCTCATCTGGAACTCCCCTGATTCTGGACAGGGATACCCCTTTACATGGCCCAGATTAGGGTTTTGGACAACAAAGCATCCCTTTGTTGGTGCTAGCAGGTCACTGAAGTATGTGTTGCCCTGCTAGAGTGACCCTTAGTCACAGAGGATCTGTGTATGCCAAGAGTGCCCCTACAAATCCACCCTACCTAGGTGAAGATTTAGCCAAAGGCAGAAGTCTGAGAGCTGTGAGACTGACTGTGCCTGAAGATCTACCTCATTCCTCCCTTTCATCTGAGGGCATGTCATTGCTGCTACCTGGGGTGGGAACCCAAATTCCTTGGGGAAGGGAAATGCTGCCCTTCCCTCCTGCTTTGTGCCTTTCCCTACCAGCTGACCAAGAAAGAGGCCAAGAAGAGATGGTCTCAGGGATGTAGCTTGCGCTATAGCATTGCCTACCAGCCTCAGGGCTTGAGCCTGAAGAATAAAACCAAAGCGTGGGGTAAAGATCCTCTTCTTTCACATGGAAGTGCAGCTGCCTCCCATGTAAGCTGCAAAGCTGCTTCTTTACCCACGTAAGAAACATCCTGCTGTTCTTTTGGGGCTTGGGTAATTCCACAGTGCTTGCAGGAAGTTGTTGCCACTGTCAGCAATGCTGTCTTGGAGAAGGACTAGGGGCCTGTTGACCTCCTCTGCCCCAGAGCTGCTGCCGCAGCAGGACACAAGCTGCAAGCAAGAAGGGAATAATGCCCTGGAGCTCCTGTGCTGCTCATAGCTGAGGCCTCGAGCTGCATCACTAAACAGCCCTGAGCTGGATTTTTAAAGAGGCTTCAGCCAAATGTCTCCTCCTGGGAGTGGTGGGAGGTGCACGCACACTGAGCAGAGTGGTGCAGCAGCCACAAACCCAGCCAGGGCTGGGGAATTCTCTGGCCTCTGCTGTGCAGTCCAGCTCATCACTGCCAAACAGGAATAACCTTTATGAATGAGTTCTGGGAAGCCAGTTTGGGAGAGCTCACACAGCATGGGGGAGGCTTCGTGGAGCCTTCTTCAACAGGAGCCAGTAGTATGCAGAAAGGTCTCTGCTTCCTCACCTGAAACCCACCTCAGCTCTGGGTTTCTGAGACCACATGTGCACACCAGAAGATCCTTAAACATGCAAAGAGAGCAAAGACAACAAGCTCCCTCCTATCCCCTCCCTAGGGCTTCTCCATCTTCTTGGCCAGGTTGAAACTGGCTATATCTAAAGGTGCTGACTTAATGGTCATCACAAACCCTGTCCTGATTTTCCTCCTCTGTATTCATACCCCTTTACCAAATCCTCATGGTTACTTCAGCCCAGCCTAAGCTGGCCTCGAGTAGGTAATGCTGGCCCAGATCCACTTTGGTTCTGGCCACTCCCAAAGCTAACCTCTGCATCTGAGGGTCTGTGTGTACACGTGCCTGTTCCCTGCAGATGCCACTGCAGGGACAGCAGCTGGCCACAGTGCAGGATGTGTGGGAATGAAACTTTGCTCTATTTCCCTGCCATGGTCCAGAGGGCACAGCCTCTCCCCTGCCCCCAGAGGGGCAAGTCAGCCCCAAGCATGAGGAGGCCAGTCTAGAAGCCTGAAACATGGCTCCGAGTCTGCGCTTTCTTTGCGAACACCTCCAGCATCGGCAGTGCAGGAGGAAGTGGGGAGGGGAGAGGGTGGGCTGGTTTAGCTCCTCCCAGCTGATAATTCATTACCGCCCGTTAGCCTGGATCCATCCTGCAGCAGCTACATCCTGGCAACAACATGTGTTCATTTCACACATAAAATGCTGTATCAAAATGCATCCTTCAGACATTCCCCCTGAAACCTTTTCCAGCTGCCTCTCCCAGCGCTTCACTTGTGGAGCAGTCCCTGCAATTGGGATGTTTTGCTCTTAATGGATGCCTGGCACCCATTGTAGAAATCATAGAAATCAGGCTGCAGCTCATGAGAAATACAAGAGGGATCTTCCTGCATGGAGCAGGGAGGCAGCAACATCTATGGCGTGCTCTGCTCCATAGAGGGAGAAGCAGCAGCTATGCTCATGCACGTGGCTGGTTTATTGCACACCATTTGCAATGATGCAGAAGAGCAGCATCTCTTCCCTCCCCTCCTTCCCTGTGGGTTTGGGAGCTTTGGGCAGCAGAGCTGGCTGGTCTTGCCTTGGGAACATGGAGGTGGTCTTGTCCCATTTCTCTGAGGTCCCTGACTGCTGCCTGATGCTGGTGACTGTCAGCCTGGTGGTAAATCTCCCTTCCACAGCTGAGTGGGAAGAGGCAGGGTGGGTGAAGGACCCCACGCTTGCTTCCCTGTGGCACCCTCTGACTCCTTGTGGAGCCATTCCCAGGGCTGGGCTGGCTCTCGAGAGAGATGAGGCTCGGCCACCAAGGCTAAGCCCTTCATGTTGGCTGCCGAGTCACAGCCAGCCTTGCACCCACCCCAAGCCTTCTCCAGCTTCCCTCTGAGCACCCGTTCTTCTTGATCCTCACACCTCCTCAGCCTTTCCTCTAGCATTTTCAGAGGCTTCTTCCCCACCGTGTACCCCTAGCACCCCTGGGCCAGGGGGCTCTGCTGGTCTGGGAAGGTTCATCCCTTTCCTTGTAGGTAAGAAAACAGAGCAGGACTTGGCAGGAACGGCCGAGTCCAGCAGCCCTCCCCAGACCCTTTCCGTGCCCCCTGTCCCCTGGGCTCCCCCCCACGTTCCCCAGACAAAGGGCTGGGGTCTGTGACAGCATCGCAGGTCCCAGCCCGTCCGCCCTGGCGGCCGCACCGAACGAGCCCCCCACCGGTGAAGGTCACGCCGGGGCGGCGGCCGCCGGGCAAAGCCACCCCGCGCTCTCCCCCCCCCGCCGCCCACCGGCGAGGGGCGGGCGCACCGGGGCCCCGTGCGGCGGCGATTGGCTGCGGGCGGGGAGGCGGGGAGCGGCGGGGCCGCGGCTGGCTGCAGCGGCGGGCGCGGAGCCCAGAGCGGGCGCGGCGGAGCATCTTCGGGCACCGCGGCCCCGGTGCGGGCCGCCTCCCCCGCAGCTCCCGGCCTCATATGGGCGGTGCCGGCGCCCCGGCCCCCGCACGCCCGTCCCGCTCGGCGTTAGCATGGGCACGGTGCTCTCCCTCTCCCCCGCCGCCTCCTCGGGCAAGGGCGGCGGCGGCGGGGGGCTGCTGGCCGAGAAGGCGCCGGGAAGGGTGCCGGGCAAGGGCGAGAGCCGGCTGAAGCGCCCCGGCGTGCTCATCTCGGCGCTCACCTGGAAGCGGCTGGTGGCCGCCTCGGCCAAGAAGAAGAAAAGCACCAAGAAGGTGACGCCGAAGCCCGGCGGCGGGGCCCCGGGGGGGGCCCCAGGCCAGCCCGACCCGCTGGTGGTGCAGCGCAACCGCGAGAACTTGCGCAAGTCGGTGGTGGGGCCGGCCGACGGTGCCAAGCCGGGCCCGCTGGCCGTGCCGGTGCCCACGGTGCCCTCGGCGCCGCAGGAGCTGCACCCGGGCTCCGGCGGGGGAAAGCCTCCGCCGCCACCGCCGCCGGCCGGCAGCCGCCCCGCGGGATCCCCGCGCCGCGTGGTGGTGCAGGCGTCCACCGGCGAGCTGCTGCGCTGCTTGGGGGACTTCGTGTGCCGCCGCTGCTACCGCCTGAAGGAGCTGAGCCCCGGCGAACTCATCTCGTGGTTTCGCAGCGTGGACCGCTCGCTGCTGCTGCAGGGCTGGCAGGACCAGGGCTTCATCACCCCGGCCAACCTGGTGTTCGTCTACCTGCTGTGCCGGGAAGCGCTGCGGGGCGAAGACATCGGCAGCCAGGCCGAGCTGCAGGCCGCCTTCCTCACCTGCCTGTATCTCGCCTACTCCTACATGGGCAACGAGATCTCCTACCCGCTCAAGCCCTTCCTGGTGGAGGGAGACAAGGGGCGCTTCTGGGAGCGCTGCCTGGGCATCATCCAGCGCCTCAGCGCCAAGATGCTGCGAATCAACGCGGACCCGCACTACTTCACGCAACTCTTCCAGGACCTCAAGAGCGAGGGCGAGGGCGGAGACGGGTCCAAGCACTGGACGATCAGCCTGGACCGTTAGGGAGGTACCAGGCCCCCGGCGCCGGGGGCGGAAGGGGCCGCGCACCGAGGGGCGGGGGAGGCGAAGGACTGTCGGATTCCCCCCCCTGCCCCCGCATTCTCCTCGCCTTCCCCCTTCCCCGGCCGTCAGTTCCACGGAGACGCTGCTTGGACCCTCCCTGCTCCGGATCCGGCTGCCCTCCTCCCCCGCCTCCGACCCCAGCTGGGGGCTGCGCTCCGGAGCTCCGAGGCGGCGGCGAAGACCGGGGAGGGGGAGCGCTGCCCCTCCCTCCTTGGCCAAGGGCGGGAGGGGGAGGCTGCGGAGGAGCGGAGGCTCCCGGATGCGGTTTCTCTAGAAAAAAGGGGTGAAAAAATGGATGTGGGGGCCGGGGGCAGGAGGGCTCGGGGTGGGGGTTTTGGGGTGTGGCGGGTGCCCGGGTAGAGGGTGCATGTGAAGGAGTCCCTGGCGCGGGCAGGGCCGCCCCGCGCCTCCGCAGCGCTCCCGGCGCTGTCCGTGGTGCTGGAGCTGCCGCGCCTGAGCAGACAAAGGAGGGGATTGCGGGCACGGCTGGGGGGGTTCTGTGGGCGATGCCTTCCCCCCCGCCCCCCTCGGCCCACGTGTGGTATATGGGCCCCCTCCCCCAGCATGGGTGACGCTGCCCCTCACCCCGCGGGAGCCGCCCGCAAACCCCTTTGTTCGAGCCGCTGGTGAAGGGGGGGTGCCCACGCCCCTCCCCTCGGGCAAATCCCCCCCGTGTGCCCCCCGAAACAGAGGGTGATGCCTCCCCGTCCTTGGCTTGCTGCGGGAAGAGGGGTCTGTGCCAGAGGAGGCCTAGGGTGCCCAAACGGAGGGGCCTGCTATGGGAGGCGGGGGGGGGGGGGTCTCCTCTCCTCTTGCTTTGCTTCACTGGAGAATAAAGAGGTGGCCTGGATGGGCCTGCGGTGGCTCCTGGACTTGCTGGGCTGTGGGGTGCAAGGGCAATTGGGGTAACACCCCAAGCTCCTGGTCATGACCCACTCTTCCCCAAGAGGGATGGGGGGCCCTGGTTCCCAAAGGGGTTTTACTCCCTGGTGTGAGTTGGGGGTCAAATTTTCACCCCTCTTTGTGCCCAAGGCCAGTTCTGGTCCACCTGAGTGTCTCTTGGACCCTTGTGATCTCTCCTGGCTTCCTCCATTCCAGATGGAAATTCCTGGTGCCTGTCTGCCACACCGAATTTGAACAGGATGCCACAGTTTATGTCACCTCCATTTTTTTAAAATTTAATTTTCTTTTTCCTGAAGCTATGCCCTCCCTCACCTCACTTCTCCCTACCTCTGCTCTGCAGGGCTGGGCTCCCTTTTCCTGGCAGCAGCAGCAGGCTGTGGGAGCTGAGCTGCTATCCCTGTTACCAGCTCTGTGCTTCTGCAGACCTCCAGGGAAGAGGGGTGGAGCACGGGAAAGCTTTGCCTTTTATAAAACTGGTTGCTACGCTTCAGGGTGCTGAATTTTCCAGGCCTCCTTTAGCAGAAGCTGCTGCACATGCTCTCTGGCTGGGGTCTGCATCCAGGGTTTCACAGCCCCTCTGAGCCAGGCATTTGGGCTCCCCTCCACTGGGAAGAGCTGTGCTGGCTCTGCAGGTCATGGAGGGTAAGCTGGATTCCCTCTACCTTTGTGTGCATCAGCAGAGCTGCTAATTAGGCCCAATCTGGCTCATTCAGGCAAAGCTGTGCTGCCAGGAAGACAGCACAGATGTCCCTGTGACGGGGCTGACCTGGCAGGGCGCTGTGCGAGGCTTTTCCGTGGCTGTGTGAACCCAACGAGACCCACGCTGCTCCTGTCCTCCCTCTCCTCATGGGTGCTCCTGTCTGTGCCTTTAGAGAGACATTCAGGTGACCTTGTGGTGAGCTCTCTGGGCCACAAGGCATTCCCAACCCACCCCAACTTTGGCCATGCCCACATCTTGTCATGGGAAAGGTAACTCTGGCTTCAACTGGTGGAACTGGGGCCTTACAGCTCCTACAGGGCTGCTGGGAGAGCCCTGAGTCTCCTGTACCAGCGTTTTGCAGAGAGGGAAACTGAGGCACAGTGAGATGAATACAGCAAGGTAGTCTGCATCACAGGGTAACATCTGAGCCATTGGTACCAGCTATTTCCACCCTGAGCTGTGGTGTTTGTCCACAAACATGTGATTTCTATTCCCAGCTGTAGGGCTTTATGGAGTCTCCTCCTGGAGCTGAACAGCCTCCCAGCACTGGAGGATTTTCCCACCCTACAGATCTCCTTAGAGACACTCACAGGGTTATTCCAGCTTCAAGCCCCAGCCTTTCAAGTTGCTTCCAGCTGCAGTGAGGCCATGTCCTTCCCCTCCTCCCTTGTGTTTCATTGATTAAGAGTCCTAGGCCTCACTGGGGGATTTAGGAAGAGCTAATTGCAGACTGGTAATTGAAGACAGCTTGGAGTCTCTGGAAATGTCAAGGAATGAGAGAGGAGCTTAGATGCTCCCATGCATTTAAATATGCATCACTGGCTCAGCCAGAGCCTTGCTGGGGGGAGGGAGGGAGGGAGACAGACATGTCTCTGGTTTTCCCTATCCCAGAGGACCTCACAGAACTGCTGGGGGGAACAAGGCAGGGGTAGCACTAATCTTACCTTGTCTGGGAGCTTTCTGCTCCTCCCAAGGCAAAAGAGAGAACACAAAATGGCTGGGTACTGAGGGTGGGAATCTCAGGCTAGAGAGCTTGGTTTTCCCCTTTTTAAAACTGTGATTTGACATGCCAGACTCCTGTGCTGCTGCATGATTGATGGTCTGGACTCAGGAGGCAGCTGTTGGACAGCAGCAAGGGGAATGGAGAGAGCTCGTGTCCAAACTTGTGATGCCTGCAGTGCTCCCTGAGGAGCAGTGAGGGACTGAGACCCTCCCAGGAGGGACTGAGACCCCCCAGTGCTGCCAGCCACAGGGCCCAGCAGTGCCTGGGGTTGCAGGGATGGGAGGATTCACACTGGGTTTGGGACTTGGAGGTAGAGCAACAGGGCCAAATCAGTGATCAGTCACTGCAGGGATCCAGGTGAGGGGTGCCAGTGCTTTCCTAATTTGAAATTCCTCCAGCAGCAGCACATCCCCTTTCCATGCCTCACACTGGGTGCCCCATCTGCTCCACATTGCAGCAGCAGAGGTTGGCACTGCAGCCCGCAGTGGTTCAGCCCCTCCTGCCCCAGGGAGGTCTCTGCTCAGGCCAGAGCACCCTTATCTTCCTTCCCAAAGGTGCAAAGGGCTCTTGGATGCACCCTGGGTGGCAGTGGATCCCAAGGATGCATAGTCACATGTGAAAAAGGGAATTTCTGCCTGGAGTCATGGAAAAAGCTCTGTGGGACTTCCCTTGCCTGACTGCTCTGTCTGTGGAGCAAATTCCGTGGGCTGGATGAGCTGGCCATAGCACTGGGGCAGGGGTGACAGGCAGCTGGAGCAGCCAGCCTGGCAAGCCATGCCTCTTCCATGTCAGACAAACAGCAGGGAAGCCGTGGTTTAGCTATTAAGAGCTGTCATCATCCCCCAGGATGACTTGGAGATGCTCCATGGGAGGAAAAGGCTCTGGATGATGCAGACCCAGCACCTGCTTGGCTGCTGAAGGACCTGCCTTGGCCCAGCTTTCTGCAAAGCCTTTCCTCATTTCCCTGCAGGGATGCTGGATGGTGTTCCTCGAGGCAGATGGGAGTGGGAGGTCTCTCTTTGCCTCTGTGGGAGCCACTGGAGCACTGGCTCCATTGCAGCTTTGGCTGCTGCTGCCCTGCTGAAATGGGGATGGCTGGCGGGGACAGGGCTCTGGTCACCTCCCTGCTCTGTGGCACTTCAGCCACAGCTGCTCACGGGGGCCTGGGGGCAAAATGGCCCAGGGAGATGGCAGCAAGGGCAGAGAGAGCCAGAGCATCCCAGACTAAATTGGCTGATGAGATATTTGTGCTCAGGGAGGGGCATGATGCTGCCACAGGGTCTCATTTGAGGGAAGACACATCCAGGTTGGGTGGAAGGCTGCAAGAGCTCTGCCTGTGCCTAGGGCAGCCCAGTGGCAGGCATGGGACTGAGGGAGGTGGGATGGCAGCAATTTGGTTCCCACTGTAGCCAAAGCACAGCCTGTGGCATTGCCTGGCTGATGTGTTTGGGAATGAGGGCACAGACTGGGAACAGCTCAGTGCCAGGAGACTGGGGCAGGTGAGGAAGGGGACCTGGCTGCCCTGGAGCCCTGCTGGGATGGTTGATCCTTCTGCCACAGAGCCTGGCAGAGCAGAAGGCCAGGGCTGCAGAGGCTGGGTCATTACCTCCAGCTCACTGAGAGCTGAGCGTGGAGGCTTCCCTGTGCTGGGTCCCCTGCCTGTCTCACAGTCCTTTGTCACTTCTGAGGACTTAGCTCCTTAGGAGACAGCCAGGCAGAACCCAGCTGTGACCCAGGGCAGATGTGGGGAGTCTGCCCCAGGGAGTGAGTGTCCCCTGGCTGGAACAGGGACTGCTCCCTCATCAGAAGGCCTGCATTAGAGCATAATCTGGCATTAGTGCATTAATCCAGCCCTCCTGCCCTCAGCAAAGCCCACACCAAGGTCTCACTGTACAGCTGGACAGCAGCAGCACCAGGACACTCTCCCTGGCCACCCCTGATGGGCACCAGAGAGGAGGTGGCAGCAGGGACGAGGTTTGGGTTTATGGGGGCACTACAGCCCCAGCCCTCAGCACACTGCCAAGGGAGAGAGCATCTTCTGGAAGCATCCCTGTTGCTTTCTTGGAGGGACTTCACAGGGGTTTTGGAGCCTGGCTGCCTGCACCTGCAGGCTCTGGCTGAGCCACACTAAGTCACGAAGCACTTTGCAGGGAGCCAGGCCAAGAGAAGGTGGTGTCTGGAGAGAGGATGTGAGTCAGCAGCTCGGGTGTAGGGGGCTGAGGAGCCAGTGCAGCTGGGATGAGGAGAGAAGGAAGGAGGTGGGAGTTAGGAGAGCTGGAGAGGGTGCAGGAGTGGGCAGGGAGGCAGACTGTGTCCCCCAGGGCAGACATGGCCTGGCTGTACTGCAAAGGCTCTTCCCAGCATGCGAAATGAAGACAGTGGCAACATGACTTCACTAAAATAGGGGAGGGACTAATCCATTCCCTCTCTGATACATTATGGGGGGACTGGAAGATTTTGGGGGAGTTGGAGAGGTCCCCCTGTCATGCTGGCAAGAGGCTGGGGTCAGGGCAGCCCTCTTGCCAGCTGAGCAAAGCCAGACACAAAGATACATTTGTTGGGGTGTTTTTTAGTGGGAAAAAAAAAAAAATCATCCTTCTTCCTTTAACCACAGAGCAGCAGAGGAAGCTGCTGGGCCATGTGCTCTGCTCCCTCAGTCTTCCCAGCACAGGCTGAAGCCCCTTGGGACTGTGTTCCCCATCTCACCCCACACAGGGCACCCAAGGCCTCCCCTCAGGCAGGTTGGAAGCCCACAGGTGCACTGAGTGCAGCTCTCAGCCACACAAAATGGGCTCCTCACCAGCTGGTGCACCCCACAGCCACACACGGTGCTGCTCCTCTGCCCCCCAGGCTGGGCACCCCTGCCCAGGGCCAGGGATGGTGTTCCAGGGGGAGCTGTGCTGGGCTCGGTCCTGCTTGCCCATTGGCAGGATTTTGCTGCAGTCTGCTCCGAGCCCGTGGTTTTGGTGACTGAGGAAACCTGCAGAAAGCAGCACTGCTGGTGGATTGGGTCAGACGGGGCTCTGGGAGGAGGAGGAGGGAGGCTGGGTTGGGTGAAGCTGGTGCTCTGTTCAGCCCTCCGATAAACTCAACATGTGAGGGGAGGTGGCTCCCAGTAGAGCCTGGGGATGGGAGCATCTCGAGTTGCCATGGTGACCGCGGCTGCATCCTCAGGCAGGCAGGAGCATCGCTGGTGCAGCCCCGCATGGGTGTCCCCCGCTCTGCTTCCTTCCCGGCTGCCGTCCCCGGGGAGAGCAGGGCTGGTGCCCGGCCTTTGGCATGGCACCCAGGGGACAGAGCGCTGGGACGGTGGCACCCAGGGGACAGAGCGCAGGGACGGTGCCAGCGGGGCTCGGAGCTGAGCGGAGCGAGCCGCAGCTCAGCCTGTTGCTCCGGGTGTGTGCGGCCGCCCTCCCTCTCCCGAACAGGTAAGTCCCCCTTTTCCCTAGCGTGTCCCGCCTCCAGTCCATCGGGGATCCGGGCTGCAAGGTCGGGCCGGGCTCACCTGGGCTTCCCTGGTGCAGACCCCGGCAGAGGGACGGGAAGGGGGAAGGGAGGAGCTACCAGTGACCCACATCCCTTAATCCGCGTCCTGCCCTGCGTCACGCAGTTACCTAAGCCCCGGAGCAGCTCCCCCGGCGAGGGCACAGCCTCTGCCCCGTCTCTGAGGGGGCCACTTGTGGCCATTTCCCCCATTTTGCCCTTGCTAAGTGAAACTGGGGGGCAGGGGACGTCTCCAGCCTGCCTCGGCGCTGGTTGCGTGGGGGTAACGACTCCTTTTTCCCCTCGCTTCACCTCCTGCCGTGCCTGGGAACAGTCTGTGCAACACCCGGAAACCCTGGAGGCAGGGACAGTCCCCTCCCAGTCCCTGCAACTCCTTTCGCTCTCAGGGGTTCTCTGCCAGCAGCATCAGCCCCCCCAGTTCACAGCCTGAGCCCTCCCCAGAGGACACACTGACATCAGATCCCACTCCCTTAAGCTGATTAGGGCAGTAAGGATGCATTGGAGCAGATGCCACCAAGGCTGGAGAGTGACCAGACCCTGGAGGGCTGCAGAAGGGGCAGCATGGAGCCCCCAAATGTGGGAACTGCTGTGGTCTGGGGCATGAAGGGAGAGGAGGTGGGGGCTGACCACTCCTTGCCTGGGCTGGGGAGCTGTATGACTCCCCCTGCACAGCTGGTTTGATCCCTGAGGCAAGCCTGGGAGCCTGAGAACAGCATATGTGGCTTTCCTGAAGGGGAGTCTCAGGTAACCCAGAGGTTTCCAGCTCTGTCCTCTCTCCTGGGGATTGTAAGAACTGGAGGTGACACCTGGAGAAAAGATGATGCAGACAACGGCCACATCCTTCCCACCCCAGCCCTGAAGGTGTTCTGGCTCAGATGGGAGAGGATTTGCTGAGTGGTTCCCCCTCTCACCAGCTCCCTTCAGACAGGAGAGGACACAGGTGACAGCACCTCTCTGTTTTATTGAACACCAACCCCACCCCCCGGCCAGTGCGGAGCTCAGCGTGCCCAGCTCTTGCGCATCCACTGGGCCAAAGTCCTGCTCCAGAGGATGGGGGCAGCTCCTTGAACCCAGGGGGAGAGACTCAGGGCTGCCCCTTGGTGCCTGGGGCTCCCAGGCCTGCTGTCATCCCTTCTTCTGCTCCACCACCCATGCTGCTTTGTCCCTGGGGATGTTCCCACTTATGGAGGGTGTCCCACCAAGCCCTGCATGTGAGAGGCTAAAGCTGGAGTAAAACTGGAACATTATTAAAGTGATGAGCAGGACACCGGCTCATGTGCAGGGTGTCTGGGACTGTGGTGTGATCCTTGGGCACTGGGGAGAGGGCAGAGCTGCAGAGACCAGGCTATGCTGCCTCCAGGCTCTGGTCTTGCCCTGAGACCTGGCAGTGAGCCCCACACTTGTCCCTGGCACCTCCAACCCCAGAACCCTGCCCTGGGTCTGAGTGAACCCATAGAAAGCATCTGCTCTCCAGACCAAGGCTTCTCCTGAGGTCTGAAGGAAGTCACCTTCAGGCAGCAGGTATAGGAGGGATGGAGGAAACAAAGCCTTTGGAGACAAAGGTGAGGGGACCAAGTGGTCAGGGAAGGTCCCCTTTCCTTGTCCCCGCTCAGTGGGACCCTCATTCATGGACACAGCTGCCCTGGGGCCCCAGCTCCAGACTCCTCTCTGCAGGGAATGGGAGGGCAGGCACAGGCTGGAGGCAGAGCCAGGGACATTCATGTCATGGGCAGCACGTTGCAAAGGAAAGGTGGGGCAATGTCCCTGCCAGGAGAGGAGCCTGTGGTTTTTTCCTTCCATTCACACCCTGCTTTAGGTATCCACATCCATTCCTAGGATCATGGATACTTCCTCATCTTAAATTTAGATGGCTTCCCTCCTCCAGCCACCCACATCAGAGAACAAACCCAGCAATCCTGCAAGCACCCCCCATCCCCCACACCACACCAAACATAAAAGGGGGCAAGTGAGAGCAGGGCACAATCCCATCCCCCACCCCTCCCCGCTGAGCTTCCCAAATCCACAGCCCCACGCTGCCAGGGCCATGGAGCATCCACGTGGCACAGCCGGGCCCCTAATGGTAATGGTTGTTCATGTTGTTGAGGTGGGAGGCTGCCATGGCGCTGAACGAGGCTGAGGGCTGGAGCCCGTGCCCCGGGTAGAGGGACGGGCTGGAGCCAGCCCAGTAGGAGAAGCCAGCCGGCGTCACTCCCGAGGTCATGAGGTTGAGTTTGGAGATGCCCGAGAAGGGCAGCGGTGCCAGGTTGCCCTGGAATTTGTAGAGGGCGTGGTCGGGGGTGGCCGGCTGGCACACCTGGGCCAGCCCGTGGAAGTCGAACTTGTAAGCGTAGCGCTTGCCGTGCACCTTGGTCATGATGTTCTTGTCGTAGTAGTAGCGCAGCGCGCGGCTCAGCTTGTCGTAATTCATGTTGGGCTTGCTCTTGCGCTCGCCCCAGCGCCGCGCCACCTCGTCGGGGTCGATCAGCTTGAACTCCCCGTTGGTGCCTTCCCAGGCGATGCAGTTCAGGTTGGCCCGGTCCGAAAGCAGCTCCAGCAGGAACTGCCACAGCTGGATCTGCCCGCTGCCTGCAAGGCCGGGCCCCAGAGAGGTTAAAGCTCCTTCCCAGGGCACAAGGTGAGGGACAGGATGTGCCCCAATCCCCTTGACCCGCTCTTATGTTGCCCTCTCCCACACCCAGGTCTTGGCTGCACCTCATTGCATCTTCCCTGCTTTAGAGACACATAAGGTGGTAACAAGGTTATGTCTCCTTTGCAACATCCCAACCCCATCCTACACCCCCAGATATGAGGAGAAGATACCTCTGCACCTTGAGATGGAGTAGGAGTGCTCAAAGGTCAACACAGGTTACAGCGGGTCTGGATCCAGAGTCTCCCCATCCCTCCTGCCCACATTCACACACCACTGAGGATGAACACCTGCTTGTTTGTTTTTGTGGGAGGACATGGCCTTGTTCTTTCATCAGCAGCCCCAAGAAGGACAGACCTATCTTGGCAGAACCCAGACCCATCCCAACACAAGCATTCCCACTGCCATGTTTGCTGGAAACTGGGCTGGTCTCACAGCCCCTGCTCCAGGGACACTGTGCCCTTCATAGATGTCTCCATGGTCAACTCAAGTCAGGGAGCAACACTCATCTGAACTACACCCCAGAGAGACACAGATAGGTGTAGGGGAGGAAGAGACAGGGACAGAGCATGGCCTACTGTGGCTTTGAATCAGGCATCAATGATGTTCCTTATTTCCAAAGGAAAAATGTCCTTCCTGAGCCATGGCCATTGCACCTGCAGCTTGCACCAAGGAGTTTCCTCAGTGGGTGCCCATGGTGCCCCTGTGCCAGGCTGTGCACACACTGGAGCCTGGCACACCTCGACACGCCCATGGTGAGGCACAAGGACATGCTCCATCGGGTCTGGCCAGAGGGCATGAGAGGAGAGGGAACCTGGACCTTTGGGCAAGGAGGATCCGACTGCTGGGACCCGGCCACCCTGCAGAGCAGCCCTGCACTTTCCTAGGCACCCCACTCTGCCTCCTCTGAGCAGCATCCCCTGCACATCCCTGCTCCTGATGCCAGTCCTTGCAGCACATTCTCTCTCCAGAGCAGAGGATGTGCCTTTGCAGTTATCCCTGTGCTCTTCTAACATTATCATCCTAAACCTGATGGAGGTTTAGGACCCATGACCTCAGCAACAAGAAGTCCTACAACTCTGCTACATTTCCCACCAAAAAAAAAAAAAAAAAAAAAAAAAAAATCTTGTTCTGCTTGTTTTATCTGGTTCTCCCTGTATCTCGCTCTAGAGGAAGCAGGGAACAGGCATTCCAAATTGATTCCCATTCCACCAAAACCCACCCAGACGTCCCGATCCAGGTAGTTGAGCCCAGGTCTTTCCAAGGTGTTGTATTTCCTAATTCCCCATCCTGGGACCAAGGCAGGGGATCTCTCCTCGCTAGTGTGCATCTGCAGCCCTTGCCTCTTCTCCATCACCACAGCCCCACCCTGGCCTGCAGCTATCTCCCACCTGTGGGTGTTCCACCCCATGCAAGGAGGTCAGGGAGGTGTTGGGGGGTGCATCTGGGTGGGATGGTGAGGCTCAGTCCTGCCTGCTGCACGGTGCAGCACATGATAATGCACCTGAGAGCTCCTTAAGGAAATACCCAGGGTTCAAAAGGATCCCTCTCACTGCAGCACAGTGTTTGCAGTATGGCTGGGCAGAGTCTGCAGTGCAGAAGCAAAAGGGCTCCCCCAGCTTCATCTTTCTACCCCTCCCACCACTAAACCAGGTCTCCATTTTTCCTGCTCAGAGGAGTCCCTGGTCCCTGCCTCCTAGCAAACAGACAAGCTACACAGCCCAAACACCACAGTGCTGGCCCCACGACCCCCTGTGCTGCCGTGCTCCCAAGCAGGCTCCAAGCTGCTCCTTGGTCAGCTCTGGGAGCTCCAAGCTGCTCTTTGGTCAGCGCTGGGAGCTCCAGGCTGCTCCCTGGTCAGTGCTGGCAGCTCCAGGCTGCTCCTTGGTCAGCACTGGGAGCTCCAGGCTGCTCCCTGGTCAGCGCTGGGAGCTCCAGGCTGCTCCCTGGTCAGCGCTGGCCAATGCCCATGACCCCTGCGCGGGTTGTTCCAGATGGATGGCTCCGGTTCCCGGGGACACATCACTCCCGTGCCCCAATGCTTCACTGGCAGCTCCCTCACGAATGATGTCCCAACTCTCCCCTGCACTCGCAGGAACGGATCTCTCCCGAGCCCGGATTAGCCCGCCCCACTCCCGGGATGGCTGGCAGCTCCCTCCTGTCGGGTGTCCCGGAGCTCCCGGGAGACCGGAGTTAGGACCCCGCACTCTCCCCGCTGCGGGGCTCGGGGGGATGCGTTCCCCGCTCCTCTCTAATGCCTCGGACGGGAGCTTCCGACCGTCGGGGTTGGCCGCTGTCCCCGCGGGAAGTGGCGGCGGGATGCTCCCAGCCGGAGGCACTGGCAGCAGCAGGGAACGGGGGCTCCGTGTGGCCGTGTCCTGCAAGGACAGTGCCCGGCAAAGGACGGGAAAGGGGCTCCGCTGGCTGCTGGGCGGGAGAGAATGCCAGTGCCCCGGGGTCCCCGCTCCGTGCTGGCCGGGGGAAGCGGGGCCTGCCCAGGGGAAGGGGCAGCGGTGCTCTTACCTTTCTGCACGCCGGGGCTGAGAGACCCCCACGCCTGGCTCTTCCCGTCTTTGAACAAAGTTTCCCCGACTGGATCTGGGGGAAAAAAGGAACGCAGGTGGTGTGGAGGGAGGGCTGGAACCAGGCGGGACCGCGACACCCCAGCGCCCACCCGCGGGCAGCGTCCCCGCAGCCCCCGGCCGCTCCCCCTTGCCTGCCCCGCCGCTGCGGCGAAGCCAGGAAACGCGTCCAGGAAAAAGGAAATCCGATTTCCGACCCAGCCGGGGAAGCTTTTAAATAGGAATAGACGATCCCGTGGGCTCGGGTAGGGAGGAGAAAGGGAGTGAGGGAGAGAGGTGTGGGGCAGGGGGAGAGGGAGAGGAGGCGGGTGGGTGGCAGGATGGGTGACAGGAGCGGCGGGTGGAAGCAAGGATGTCTGTCGGCATTTGGGGAGTGGACTGCTGGGGAAAGGATAGATAAACGGACAGATGGATAGAAGGAAGGAAATGGGTGAATGGATGGAAGGACAGAAGAGACGATGGTGAGTGGGCAGGTGGAGGAAAGAAAGTGCGAGAGATCGATGGATGGAAGAGCAGGTAATGGATAAGATGATGGGAAAACAGGCTGATGGAAGGGATGTTGGGTGGATGGAGGGGTTGGCTGGTACCCGGGATGGAAAGGAGGATGCAGGGACAAGTGGGTGGGGTGGAAGAATGGATGGAAGCACAGGGTGGAAAGATGGGTTGGAAGAAAAGAAGGGTGGATGAAGAGATGGAAGGACAGGGTGACGGTGGGTGGATGAAGGATGGGAAGATGAGTGTGCGGGTATGGAAAGCTGTGAGGGCAGCTGAAAGGAAGAAGGAAGGGATGGTTGTGGTGCTGGAAGGCAGGAAGAGAGAATGGACAGAGGGAGAGGGGATAACAGGGTGGGCGCTGGAAGGAGATGGGGCAGAGGAGAGCCCCAGGGCCTCAGCGGGACAGGGTGGGCAGGGGCTGGGTGCTGTGCGGTGCACGGCGCTGCGGTGGGGCAGCGGCCGAGGGATCCGCCCGTACCTGGCAGGTACATGTTGAGCAGCAGTGGCACCGCTCCGGTGCCGTGTCTCATGGCAGCTGTGGAGGCGGCCCGCGGGCTGCATGTTTTAATATTCCTGCCCCTATTATTATTATTATTATTCCACTTTATCAGGGAGCAGCTGATGGCGAATAAATGGCAGCGGGACGGGCAGGGGACGGGCAGGGGCCGGGGGAGGCGGGGGAAGGGGGAGTTTCCAGGCAACTCGCAGGGGCTGGGGCCCCGGCTCCAGCAATTTCCTCCGCTGTAATTAAACCGGGCGCTGCCCCCCCCCCTCCCTCCCCCCGCTATCGGGCCCGCATCAGACTTTAATCACGGCCGCGGGTTTCTATGGAGAGCGGTTCGGGCCGCTTCCTGCCTCTTCCGCCTCCTTAACTCTTCGCAAACACGGCGCTGACATCCCAGCTGGGAGCGGGCCCGGCCACTGCCTGGAGACCGCCCGGGCCCGGCCTCCCACCAGCACCTCCCTTCCCGAGCCGCTGATCGGCCCGCAGCGCCCCGGAGCCCGCTCCCGATCGGCGGTACCGCCCCGGAGCCCGCTCCCGCTCGGCGGTACCGCCTCGGAGCCCGCTCCCGATCGGCCGGTACCGGTACCGGCACTGCCCCGGAGCCCGCTCCCGATCGGCCGGTACCGGCACCGCCCCGGAGCCCGCTCCCTGCTGCACGGCACCGGCAGCAGCTCCGGCACTGCCCCCCGGCCCTTGCTCTCCGAGCTGCCGTGCTGCTGGCCCTGGGGGTCCGTGCCTGCCCCTTCCCCAGCTCCAGCATTATCAGCACAGTCCTGGGGGCTCCTTGCAGTTCAGAGTCCTGGGGTGGGCAAGGGGAGTCCCCACCAGCACTCTCCACTTCCAGGACAATGGTCACGGGGTTCCTTTGCTGTGCCCAGAGTTTTGGGGTGGGTAAGTGTGTCTCCAGCAGTTGGTGCACCAGGTCATCCCACAGCTCTGCCACCTCCCTGGCTCCTCTGTGCTCTCCTGAACAGTCCCAGCCCCAGGGACAGTTAAGCCTGTGACCATCCCACAGCACCCAGCCCTGTCCCAACCTGCTGCACATCTTTATTAGGATCCATGGAAGCTGGGTAACCCCCAACACCCACACAAACCAGGATGGCCCCATCTTCATCTGCTTGTCCTGGACAGTGCTGGGTGCATTCTGAAGACAGGAGGACATTTCATGGAGAAACTTATGGAGAAAGGTGATGCCAGCTCCAAAAAAACATGTCTGGCCAGGTTTTTCCCTGTCACCCATGGCCCCAGCTGTTATAGGCACTTGTGGGGTGCTGTCAGTCTCTGTCCCCCAGGTCAGGAGTGGACCCCCCACAGGATCCCACAGCTTGAGGCAGCCAGGCAGTGTGCCAGCAGCTGTCGCCAGTTCTCCTCTGTGAGTCCAACACTGTAGAGCCAAGCTCACAACTTCTTCTGGAGCGTTTCATTGATGTCTGGCAAAAGGATGAGCTCTCATGCTGGATTTAGCTGCCTTTCTGGAAAGTGATCGTCACAAGATATGGACCTAATGGAAATCAGGGTACAGCCATGCCAGACTCACAGTTTTTATTTACAGTGCCTGCCCTGCATAAGAAGCTGCAGCCCAAGGGGAGCGATGCTCAATCAGGGTGGCACAGCCCAACAGAGCTGGTGACTCCTCTTGGCAGGGGGTGTCCAAAGGGTTTAGGAAACAGGGGGTGCCTTGATTACCGAGCTCCACCTCTGCTCCAGGTGCTCCACCTCTGCTGCCCATCTCCATCATGGACAAAGAGCAGATGCTGGCAAGGGGAGACATGAGCAGAGACCGTGGTATTCCCCAGAAATTCCCCAGCAATCCTGTTTGGAGGTAACAGCCCTTAAAAAGCTTCTCTTCCCCCAGCTTGTCTCCTGAGCTCCCCTGAACCTCCCAGTGGGGCGTCCAGCTCTGTACAGCCCAGCAGCCCTGGCTGCTCCCTGCATCCCTCTCCTGCCCAGCCCCCCAAGGTGCAGCTCTCCCCGCAGTGGCTCCGCAGCCTCCCAGACTTGCTTTCGCTGCCTGAGTCACTGAAACAAACCGCAGGCAACGGAAAACAAGCCCCGGAGACAGCAGGGTGAGGTGGGGGCGTGCCTGACCCACCACCCGTCCTCTCCTCGCAGCCCAAGGGGAGACCATGATACTGCTCCAGCAAACTGCACAGTGGAGGGCATGGAGGGGGTCTGGGCTGAGGGACATTGCATCAGCCCAGAGTGGGGAGGGGGTGCAGTAGGGATCAGGCTCAGAAATGGGTTTAGGGTTGCAGGGGCTGGAGAAGGGGGTGCTTTGGAGGGCACTGGGGATGGAGATTCCTGGGTCCCTGGGAAAGCCAGTGGGTGGGGGGCTTAAAGTGGGATGTGAGGGGACTGGGGTCTTTGAGTGATCTGGGGTCAGAAGTGTGCAGAAGGACAGAGAATGTCAGATCCTAAAAGCTGGCAAGCTCTGTGTCCATGTGGAGCTTTGGAGACCTGAGTGATGTGACCCCAGGTTCATGGGGGAGCTGGAGCAGACCCAGAGGATGAGGAAGGCAGAGTATATGAGAAATCCAGGAAATAGGGACTCATGTCCATGGGGGAACAAGGGACTGGGCTGTGGGTCTGAGGGGGATCTAGGAGATGAGGTTCCAGATCTGTGGGGCTACTGGGGATGGAGCCCAGACATGTGGAACACCCAGCTGGAAGCAGCTGCAGGTCCCTCCAGCTGCAAGAGGCAGTCTGCCCCCCACCCCCCACTCCAGTGCTCTCCTCCCACCCCAGGTGGAGCAATAAGAACCCGAGACTTTGCAATGACCCCCACAGCCCACCCTTACTCCCCCATCACAGCCCTGTGTGCAGTGCCCGGGAAAGCTTCACCTGTGAGCCGGTGGTGTGGAGCGGAGCCGAGCTGACGTGGCCCTGGGCTGGCTGCGCCTGGCCAGGTGTGCCGGAATGTGTTTGTGCTGGGGGAGAGGCCCTGCGGCCGGTGGGGTGGGGCCACTGGGGACACGGAGGAGACAGGGGCGGGCTGGGGGGCACTCTGCAGCCGGGATGCCATGTGGGATGGGGATACACAGGGGCTGGGTCTTCTGCACAGCAGCACCGGGGCTGGAGGGGAGAGGGGGCATGCAGGGAAACACGTGTGTGCTCAGCTGTGTGCAGCTCACACACACACACACACACACACACACACACACACACACACAACACACATACACACACACACACCCACACCCATGCACATGCTGACACACACACCAGGGCTGGGGTCTCTGCACACTGCTGGGTGAGCGCCGTGCACAGGCTGACCCCCAGTCTCCCAGCAGCCTCCTGGGACACTCCCTTTCTCAGAGCCAAGCATGCTTTTAGCAGGGTGGGCATCAGGGAGCCCAGGCATCTGAGGCACTCAGAACTGTTCCACCATGCATCCCTGTCCTTGGTGTGGGGAGCGCCTCGGAACCAAAAGCCTGTGCCCCAGGAGGGCTTTGGGGTGCCAGAGCAGATAGAAGACAAGGAGGAGGAGAGGGGGAAGAAGCAATGTGCTGGGTGCAGGGAGCACCTTGGGATGGGTAGCCCACACCCCAGGAATGTTCAGAGCCAGATGGAAGAGGAGGAGGCTGGGAAAGAGTGCTGGAGGAGGAGGAGGAGGAGGCTGGGTGGGGCTCCCAGTGTCCCGGAGCCGGATACTGGCACGGATATGCTGGCGTGGCAAGGCTGGAGGAGGAGGACACGCACACACCTGTGAGCATCAAGCCAGGCCCCTACCACCTGTGGAACACTACCCTCAGACCTCCTTCCCCTGCACAGCCACCTCCTGCCCAGCCCCTCTGTGCCAGTGCCCCCAAGCCTGACACAGCTGTGGCTGCCCCATGTGTTGTCAGAGTCCTGTCCTGCCCCAAATGACCCCTATGTTCTTCCTCCTTCCCAGGCCCACAGCAGGCAGGGACCCCCTTCTCTCTTCCAGAGGGGTGTAGAGGAAGGGGACCTTGGTTTGCAGACTTTGTAGCAATCGATTTCCCTGGCATTGATCCTGGGAGGAGAACCCAGGGTACAACCCTGCTGGACGCCTCTTCCCAGGGCACAACCCTCTTGGTGTCCTCTCCCACCTCCAGTGCTCCCTTTGCCCAGTAAGTTCCCATTTTCCCAGCCAGAACACCACAGCAGTGGAACTGTGCATGGATGCGAGGTGGGGTGCAGAGAGCTCAGCCCAGGGTGGAGCTGGCCATGAGCCCAAAACTGCTGGGGAAGGGGAAAGCTTCCAGGTTGCCACCATGGTGCTCCCAGCATGGCAGCCCCCCGAGGAGCTGAGCAGAGGCAGGAGCACTCTTTTTTTGACAAATGCCTTTATTTGCTACCGGATAGAGGTCTATTGCACAGCAGCCTGGAGGCTGCAGGACACACAGCCCTGCCCCAGTTCAGTGCTGGACGCGGCGGATGGATTGGATCTGGTTGGTGTGGGCCTGGCTGCTGTATTCATTGTACTTCTTGAACTCGCCGTTCTGTCTGTCCCGCTCCAGCACGTACTGGTAGCCCCTGTATCCCGGGTACTGGTATGCCACCCACCTGCAGGCAGAGCCTTGGCTCAGAGCCCCAAGCCAAATCATCCCATCCCATCCCATCCCATCCCATCCCATCCCATCCCATCCCATCCCATTATCCCGTTATCCCATCCCATCCCTCTGCTTGCCTTGGGAGGAGAGGGACAGAAAATACCCAATGGCTTGTATTTTCAAGGAAAAGGTAGCAGGAATGCAAGTCCCTTTTTTGAGGGGGTCCCCCTTCCACATTGTGGGGTTTATGGAGGTGTTTTCTGCAAGGAGGTGCTTCTGAGCCTCTGCTCTTGGCACCCCCAGTCCCTGCCCCGCTGGCTGCACTCACGCTCCGGCGTTCACTTTGATGGATGCCACCTCCTTGTTGCCCCAGCCCATGGCCTGCAGCGAGGGATAGTCGTCACTCAGCTCAAACTTGTGACCCTGGAAGTTCTCAGCCTCGTAGAGGATGACTTTGCTGTCATTGTGGTTCTGCAGAGAGACAGAGCTGCAGGTCAGCAGGAGTGGGTTGCCTTGCCCGGGGATAGGGATGTGGCATCAGTGTGACACACACCAAGACACTTTGAGAGGCCTGGGATCGTGAGCAGCTTTGGTGCAATGCATGGGGATGTCCCTCAGACTGGCACCCCCCCACTGGGACACCCCAGAACTGCCCCAAGGATGCTGCTGTCATGTCCCTGTGGTCCCAATGCACAGCTGTTAGTGAGAGTTAGTGGCTACAACCTCTGGACCCACACGGACTGCTGCCCTCAGCATCACCACAACTCCCCAAGGCTGCAGGAAGGTTCAGGGCAAAGCAGGACGCTGAGAGAGGTCCCCTCAGCTCTGTGGGACCTTTCTGGGTGCTGGACACGGTGGGGTTAATGGCTGGGACACTGAGAGATGCAGCACTGTCCCCCGTGCCCAGCCCCCACATGCATCTATCTGCACCGAGGAGCAGTCCTGCCAGCAAGGAGTGATCTTATCGCATCCCCTTTATTAAAGCCTGAACATATCTGCCTGGTGATTATTAAAAGTTGGGGGGGGACCCCCCGCTCGGAGGCGCAGACGTGCCGCTGCTGCGAGCAGCGGTGTCTCTGCAGATGGAGCGATAGAGCCGCGGCTGCCTGGGCACGCCCCAGCTACCCGCGCTGGGAGGGGACGGGCCCGCGCTCCGAGCATCCCTGAGGTCCCGCCAGCTCCTCTCTGTTCATCCCAGCCCCGGGAATCAGGGCTGGGGGACAAGGCCTGGGGACCCCAGCCTGGCAGGTGGCTCTCCAAAGCACAAAGAGCTGGAATTGTGGTTCAGGCTAAATTTTAGACCTAGAAAGCATCCCAGGATCTTTGCAGGGAGATGGGAGCTGGTGGGTGTGGCTACTCCTCCACTTCATATGTACCTCTGTGAACACCTCACCCCTCCATCCCATGGTCCATCTAAGTCATCCTCCAGTCTGTCCCACATTGCCTCCATGCTGGGCTACCTGGAGGAGGCTCTGCCTGCCCTGAGCCCTCCCCCTGTGGGGTCCCAGTAACTCACTGCGCATTTGACAGGCCGGAAGGAGAGGAGGTGCTCGGTCCGGTAGCCACTGTTCCCGCTCCAGGCCTCCCACCGGGGATAGTCACCCTTCTCCAGGATAAACTGCTGTCCCTGGTACTCAGGGTACTCGAAGCCTACCCAGCTGGAAGGAAGAGGAGGAAAACCCTCAGGGATGTGTGACACAGTCCCCAGGATCAGTCAGGGGTCAGCTTCTCCTTCCTGGGCAGGGGACAGAGACTTCCTGCCAGGTTATGGGTCTGTCACAGATGTTGGGGTCCTTGCTAGCAGAAAATGTCCCTTTTGAAAGTGGGGCCCCTCTCTCCAGAGCCACATCATTGCCTCCAACCTACGCCTTGCCTTGTTAAGGTCTCCCTGACTAGCAGATGGGAAAACACAAGGAGCACAAGCAGGGAGGTTGCACGATGAGGCTGTGTCATAGCTGAGGAAGAACTCGGGTGTTCTGGCTCCCTAGCAGCTCCCAAGAGTGCCCTGGGAGCAGTGGGTTTGCTGCAGCGGGGCATGCCAAGGGGCCGCGGGGCCGGCGGGGCACTTACGGGCCAGACTCCACCTTGATGGAGCGGATCTTGCGGAAGCCGCGCTCCATGATGCTGGGGCACTCCATGAGGAACTCGCAGCGCTTGCCCTGGAAGTTCTCCTCCTCCCACACCGTGATCTTGTACTGCCCCAGGGTGTCCATGGCTTCACTGCTGGTCATACGGGTCTCCCGGCTGCTGGCAGAGCCCCACGGATCACCCCAGGGCAGGTGCCCACCACCAGCCCCCAGCCACCCTCCTGCCTGCTGCTGCGCCTGGGATGCTGGTGGCACTGCCCTCACACACCCCATGCCACTGGCCCCTTGCCCTCCCAGGCTGGCATGGGGACATTTCCCATTCCCTTTCCTTCGGTGCTGGGGGATCTTTGTCCAGTGAGCCCCAGGTTGCAGGGGAAATTTGCAATGCCCCATCTCTCCATGTGATGTACCCAGGACTGCCTCAGTTTTTCTTCTCCCAAGCTCCCTGCCGTGGCTCCGGGAGTCGTCTGAGTGCGGTGGCACTGTACCACTGCTGGGAGGCGGCGGTGACCACAGCTCAGATGCGGGTGTAGCCCCGGGGCAGAGCAGCCCGGCTCCTCCATCCCTCCTGCCAGGGTCCCTCCTGCCCGCTGTGGCACACAGCGCCCCGCCACTTGCCCTTCCCCAGGGTGAGCGTTGGCTGGCTGGGGGGCTTGCTGTGGGGCGAAGGGAGCGGGGCAGCGCCTGTGCACGGGGGTCTGGGGGCTCACAGCCTGGTACTTACTTGGTCGGAGGGCAGGGCACAGAGGCGGAGGTGGCGGTGCCGGCGCCGGCTTCTCCTGTGGCCCTTTATAGCGGGCGCTGGAGCGCCGATGGTGCGGCGGCCAGGGCGCTGTGTCAGCAGGCAGGGGACGGGGGCACGGGCGGCTCACCCGGCCCAGACTCCGGCTGTCCATTCCACTTAGGCAGTGTGGCGAGAGCGGCCCCCCCGCGCCCGGCCAGGCTGACAATGAAAGTGCTGGGCTGTGTTTGCGCAGGGGCTCAGGGCACAATGGGCAAAGGGCCTGACGCGCCGCTTTCCTTTCTGCCCCCGGACAATGTCCCCGCTTGGCCCAGGGATTAGGGAGCCAGCCTTTCCCAGGGCACCCGCAGCCCCTGCCAGGGTTGAGGCTGGTGGGAAGGAGGTGCCAGGGTGAAGTGGGGATTTACCATCTGGGAGCCGAGGGGCACTGATGTCCTCACGCTGGAACACAGGGCTTATCTGGGGCTGCTTCTGCCCCTCCATGTGGGACTCTGCCACCATGGGCTCCTTTTCCAGCCAGGCCCTGCAGGGATTCCTGCGCTGGCTGCAGACTGGGCGCTAATGGACCCCAGTTACATGCTTGTAATGCCCTGAGCATTTCCCCTGGCTTGAGAAAGAGCTCCCTGTGCTCCCACTCACCTCCCACAGGGGCAAGGGACACTGTGCACAGCAGGAGGGACCAGCTTCGGGACAGAGCTGTGTCCTTCGCCTGGACAGGAGCAGCCCTGCCTGGAACTGCACCATGCCATGCAGCTATCCCCAGCGGCTCCTACCAGGACCTGGGATGGATGGGGCCAGCACAGGCTGGAAAGGAGGAAGTAGGCCCTGTTGAGCTGTGAAATCCTGGGTGTCTAGGCAGCTGTTTCTTGCAGCATCCTGTGTAGTCTGTGGTGAGGCTGGGCACTCCCCACCTTCAGCTGGGCAGGTGCCACGCTGGCCACTGGGCAAGGGCCGGACCACAGCACCACAAACCTTCCCAGGAAAACTCCAGCCCTTCTGGGGGTCATGGGCGTGGGGTCAGCATCACAAGAGGCCCGGACATTGTTGGTTATGGAGAATGCAGTGTGAGCAGCTGGGGGTGGTGTTAGTATGCGTGGCATCAACAAGAATCGGGGACTGAGGGGTGACAGCAAGGATGGGCTGGGGACAGGACTTGGGGGTCCCCTTTGTGACCTCCCCCCACTGCTCGACGGCCCCGAGGCTCGGTGCGAATCCGCGCCGATGCCTGCGGGTCCCAGCAGAGGGTGCAGCCTGGCAGCGGTTGGAGCACGCTCAGCTCAGGGACATCAGTGGCCCTTGGCAGGGGACAGGCGCTGGGGAGGCGACCCTCAGCTTGCGTTGCCTGAAATGCTCCTAGCAGGGAGGAGGAGATGCTCTTGGAGCTGTCTGGGGAAGCAGAAGGTGGAGGGAAGGATAGGGATGCTCCCTGGAGAAGGAAGAGCACTCTGGTGCAGCCTGGTGGCCTGGGGACATCTCTCAAAGTGCTGGGAGACAGTCTGGGCAGGATTTAGGGAAGTCAACACCTTGGCAAAGGTGAGGCAAGATGCAGAACTAGTGCACTGCAGGGTCTCCCCACGTTGCTGCCCCCTTGCCTGGGCTGTGAGCACAGAGCTGTGGGGCACTGGTTACTTTGGGGTCCTTGAGGATGAGGGCAGCTGGGGACTCTGAGGTGCAGGGCACTGTGGGGTGTATTACAGAGCCCCAGCACGTGAGGCACCACAGAATATGTGGGATGCTGCAAGCTGTTATAGGATGCGCATGTGTGGTCACTGTATGGTGTGCTACAGCATCTGTGGGGCACTGGGGCTGTGCCACGAGGAGCATGCCAGCCACTCAGCCATCCCCATGCAACATTTGGATAAAAGCACTGGAAGGTGAATGGTGCAGAGGAGAAACCCAGATGCAGACTGTGCCCCTCCCTTGTCCCTCAGCATGTTGTACTCACTGGAAAGTGCTTCACCTCCTGCTTGGTACATTCAGGGCAGCCACGTGGGAGCCACAGCCACATCAGGGCACAGGATCCATGGGGTCACTCACAAGGAGACGTCCCTGGCTGCATCCCAGAGTGCTGATGCAGCCTGTCCTCCCTGGGCCATCTCCAGGTGGTCTCTGTCCCCAGCCAGCATCCCCTGGCTAGGTCACTGCAAGCCCCCAGCCAGCCCTGCCCAGCTGGGGCCAGGGGCAGAGGCAGGCTGGTGCGGGGGCAGGCAGTGACTCTGCTCAAGGGCAGCTGCTAATGCTGGCTGTGGGAGCTGCTCAGCACTCGCCCAGGGCCTCCTGCATAGGCTAATTTAATAAGGGCCCCTCGTAGCTCCCAGCTCAGCTTGTTCCCTGCACTAGCAAAACAGATCATGTTTCTCAGTGCCACTGGGCACAGCGCGGTGGCCCGGGGGCACGGTGGGAGCACAAGGGCACCCCAGTGCTCCCTGCCGAGCCCAGACCGTGGGGCTGTACCCCGTGCCTTGGGCAGGCACTGGTCCCAGGACAGTGCACAGCTGGGGGAGCCGAGCAGGCTGAAGGGCAGCCAGCCACAAGAGAGGTGAGGCAGGTGCTGCCCGGGAGCCCTGAGGCTGATGCCGTGTCTGTGGCAATACGACTGTACCCATTGATGGAATATCTGGGCAGGCTGATCAAGGCAGCACAGCTGTGTGTGGTCCACCTGGCTGGCACCGTGGGCTGAGCCCTGGTCACACCCTGCAAGGACCTCTAGCTGCTCTCTCCTTCTCCCCAGCCCAGCTGGGGGGCTGGACCGGCACTCGGGGGCTGGAGGTCTGGGGGCTGGGCCCAACAGGAGCAGATGGAGCTGGTGCCGGCCCCTGTTTGTCTTTCTTCCAGTTGCCTGGTGCTCTGTTTGTTCTAGAGATGGCTTCCTGCTGTCAGGGCCAAAACAGGTGGCTTTTATTTGCAGGGTCTGGCTGATTAGATCAGGGGTGGTGTGTCATTGCCCCCACACAGCCCCATTGCTTCCTTTTTCCTCTGCTTTCTCCCCCAGCCTCATTTCTGTGGGAAACCATCCTCCTGGACAAGGATGCAAACACCCTCCTTCTCTCTACAGTCACCTGTGCTTCAGGGCTGCTCTGAACATGGCCAGGCCAGGACTGGTTAATCCCAGCCAAAACCCCTTCTTTTACCTGTGAATCCTGGATCCCAGAGCCAAAAGGGTTGCTGGGATCCCCAGTGCCACTTGTCCCCTCCAGAAGCTTTGCTGGCCACATGAGCCATAAGTGTACAGCACACATCTGCCACAGGAGCCTCCCCACAGGCACTGCCTCACACAGGGAGACCTGGCACTTGCCAGCTGCCCCACAGGCAGGCACCTGTCCCCTGTGCATGCAGCCATGCCACCCCTGCAGCCAGGAGCCCTGGGACAGCAGGGGCCTGGCAGATGTTGCAGGGATTAGCTCCCACGCAGGTGCACATGCACACCGTGGGATGCCAGCTGTTCTGTGCCCCTGGCACCACCCCAGGCACGCTGCTCACCCGCTCCTTGTGGGGCTGTGCCCACCCTGCCCTGTGGCACGCACAGCTCTGGGGGTGCACCTGCAGCAGCCCCCCAAGACAAGGATGCTCCCAGGGACACAGGCTCACCCCGTGCCACCCATTCACCACCCGAGCCTGGCTGTCCCCACATGGGGGTGTGCTCAGTCCCCACGAGCTGCCAGGGGAGCTGTGGCCTCACCTGCCTGCTCCCCACTGTTCCCATGGGGACTAATCCCACCTGAAGGTCAGAGAGGCTCCGCCAGCTGCTTACCTCCTGCCTGTGGATTACAGCCTGGGTGTGAGCAGCTGGCAAAGGCTGCTCCCCAGCTGAGCCCAGCCCTGCTGGGGAACTGACAGCAGCACAGAACCAAAAGGGAACCCAGGGTGGCATGTCCCTTTCAGCCTGAGGTGTCCCCTCTGTCACACCCTACCCAGTCAGAGATGCCAGGCACTGGGGCAGAGGAGGCAGTGTCTGCTCCTCTGCTCCAGATCCTGACCTGGAAGGGAGCCTGCTGGTGCCAGCCACTGTGACCTTCTGCTTGTTACCACAAGTGCCTCAGCCTGGCACCTCCAGGGCACCCCATAGCTTCAGAGTGCTGGAGAAGCTTGCTGGTCCTCAGAGAGTCCCCAGTGCAGACCAGTCCCAGGGCTGCTGTGATAGAGACAGGGGAGCACGGGGCAGCCCACACCCAGCCTGGTCTGGGGGCAGCTGCTGTCCTTCAGTACATTGTGTCATTTTGGAGGGACACCACGGGGTGAGCACAGCTTCCCAGATGCCAGCTTTCCCTGTAGCAGCTAGGGTGCTGTCATGGAGGTGCAGAGTGCAAGATTAAGGCTGGCAGCCTCAGAGCCAGGGGATACCAGCTCAGCTGGCACCTGGCCAAGGTCCCACTCCACCCCAGTTCTCCTGCACTGCCCTGTTGGCCACGTCTGCAGTGGCAGGCACCCCAAGCTGGGTGATGCTCACTCACTCAGTGGATGGAAAGGTTGGCAGTGATGGGTCCCCTCCTCCAGCAGCTCTGAGGATCAGCACAGGCGGGGGCTGAGCCAGGCGCTGCCACAGGAACAGAACATCCTGCCTCAGCTGCCTCAGGGCTCCTGGAGCCAGCAATAGCTGGGCCAGGAGCAGCAGCCCTGGCAGCCTGCTCAGTGTCCATCCCCTGGCAGGCTGCCCACGCACTTCCTAGAGCCACGGGCTGGGAAGAGAGGAGCCCCACCACTCACCCCTTCCCTGGAGGCCCTGTGGGAGGAGGGGGCTGATGTGCCCCAACATGCAGGACCAGTATAAGCTCTGGGTGTTTTCCCCCAGCATCTCAAGTAATTCATCAGGGCCCTCCCTTATTCCCTTCTCTAATGGGTGTTCAAAAACATTTTTGGGGGCAATTGTAAAAAATGTCCCCTCACCCCAGTGGTCTGTGGGTGCAGGGGGGAGGATTCCAGGCTGTACCTATGCTGTCCCTGATACTTCCCACAGCCAGGAATGGGTTGGAATGTGCAGAATTCCTGTTGTTTCACCACAGCAGAATTCAGATCTGTGCCTGGGACCCACCTCTCCCATCCACCCTGTCTGACAGAGGGGGATAAGCTTGCCCCAGAGCCCAGGCAGACTGAAGACTGCCTCTGCTTATTGTCTTCAGCTGGGGGTGCTGTGTGGGGTGGATTCATTGCCTGGTGACAGTATCTGAAGCCTGGCAAGGAGAGTGCAGGACCCCAACACAGAGTGAGGACAGTCCTTATGCTCTCTGCCCCAGGCCTGGCCATGCCAGGAGCAGGCTGGAGCAGCACCCTGGCCTCCAACATTAGCTCATCCCCAGCGTCACAGGCAGCCTGTCCCCTTGTGCAAACTGTCTGGGAGCCCACAGTGGTGCTGGGACAGACTTTGAGGGGCAGGGAGCTCCTGCTCTGCCTGGGCACCTCCTTCAGGCACAGCAGAGATGTGCCAAAGAGGCTGAGTGGGGTCAGATGAGGTCTAGGGATGCTCACACCACCCTGGTTCTCAGCCCCTGAGGTGCCCACACAGCCCTGGGGGCTGGTCCCTGCTGGGCACTGGTTTGCTGAGGGCAACCAGCTGCCTCTCCCACATCCTGAAGTAAAGCAGGGCTTGCCCCAGGATGGCACACCCCATCCGGGCTGGGCAGGACATGAGCAGCCCAGAGGCTGCCAGCAGCAGTGCACACCTCTGCTCCCACCCACACCTTCAGCTGCACACACCAGGAAACAGAGCAGCAAGCACAGCAGGGGCATGGCCAGCACTGTTCATCTCAGCAGAACACATACACGGGCACACACAGGACAGGGATGCACCAGCTCTGCCCTGCCTGCCAGGGAGGGCACACACACCTATGCAAATACACAGGCATGCATCCACATACGCACCTGGGTGAAACTACACCTGTGTGTAAATCCAAACCTGGGCACTTGCAGCTCCCCAGTGCTCCTCCTGCACCCTGCCCTCTCCATGCAAATCCTCCTGGTGAGGAGCTGTGCCATGGAAATCCCAGCCCAGGCCCCACAGTCCCCAGAGCCGTGCCACTGGCCATGCAGAGCCTGGGGTTTGTTTGGGGAACAGCACCACCCAGCACAGACAGCAATACCCTGCTGTGCCCCATCCCATTCCAGCCTTGGTACCCACGGCACCAGCACTGGTTCTGACATGTAAAAGTGGGTGTTTAATGCCTCTGGCTCTGCCTGTTATGAGGAGCAGCTCACCCTTGGGTGCTAATCCTGCCAGAGTCATTGCCCAGGTAACACAGCCCTCAGGGCAGTGTGGCTGCTGGGGGCCATCCCACCTTGGAAGGGTTTCACAGCTTCCCAGTGCCACTGGGCTGGCAGAGCTGGGGCAGTGACTGCAGCTGGGAAGGTGGCAGGGGACAAGCAAGCCAGGGCACAGGCAGCCCAGAGGAGCTGGAGCAGGCAGGCGAAGGCAGAGGCGGCATGGCTGCATTTCACAGCCTTGCTCTGCCTGATACCATCTCCACCAGGCTCTGCCCCCACAGGGACACACGTGCAGCCACTGGAGCACATGGACAGCAGGGTCTGGCTTTGCTCAGAGTTATTAATCATGTTCTGTTTGATCCCAGCCTGAGCAGGGCAGCTGCAGAGGGTTGTGCATATTGGGGGATGTGTTGTGCTTTCTCAGCTTTTTGACTTTGCCAGGATTGGTAGCAGGGGACACAGAGCCTGGAGACACAGCCCCAAGGGCCCATGACCACAATGATCTGCATTGTGGTCAATCACTGCATTGTGCTGAGGCTGTTCCCAGGCTGGGATGTACCCTTAGCTCTGGAGGGATGCAGGGAGCGTGGCAACCTTGGAGATGCTCTTTGATTTTGGCCCCTACCTACACCACCTGATGGAAACTTCCCAAAGCATCTGCCCAAGCAGGAAGCCTAGGAGGTGCCTCATCTCTGCCCCTTGCAGGGGCTCTCCAAGGAGGCAACAGGACTCTCCTGCTCCGGGACCAGGGCTGCTGAGCTTTGTCCTGTGTGTAGCTGCATTGGGGTGAGGGAAAGCAGCAGGAATCATCCTGTCCCTTAGCACACCTGAGCTCCTTCACTCCAACCTCTGCTCCATCCACACTGGGTGGATGGGCTGAGCCTTTTTGGTGTTTGCAGAGAGGCTGCAGATGGGCTCAGGATCCAGCTGTAAACTCAGAGCATCCCTGAGCACAGCAGGACCAGAACTGGATCCTGTGCTATGGAAGTGCCTGTGCCTGAGAGCAGGGCAGAAGCAGCTCAGGGCTGGCAGAGAAATCACAGGCAGAGCCAGGCATAGACAGTAGGGAGGTGAGGGATCTTTCCATTCCCAAAAAATACTCTGAGGTGGGAGGAAAGCAGGTTTACTGCTGTCCTATCTCCTAGGTCTCCATGACTCCCTGCAGCCTCCATGGAGCTAGGAGCAGCCCCAAGCTCTGAATGTCTTCTCTGGCTGCTGGGGGAGAGGGATGGGACAGGACATGGAATGGGACAGGAGTCCAGGTCAAGCACTTGTGCTTGGAGAGCAGGGCAGGCAGTGAGCAGGGCTGTCCTGGAAGAGACCCACCAGCTTGCCAGCACCACCCCCATACCCTTCCACAGCAGGCATAGGCAGGAGGATTGCCACCAGCAGGATCTGGCACCTGGCCCACAGGCTTCAGGTGCACAACAGGAAACACCTGCCCTGGGCAGTCAGTCCTGGAAGGGCTGGGAAGTGCAGGTCCTGGGAGTGAATCAAGGCAGGGGGAGGCGAGAATGGATGTGACACCCCTCATCCTCTGCCCTGCTCCCTGCTGCCTGCTCCTGCCCTCCCTCCCGCTGCTTCTCTGTCAGCAGCTAAAGCTCCCTTGGTGCCAGCAGACCATTGAGACCTACCTGTGTGCTTGGCAGAGCCTGCCAAACTCCACCCTGGGCCAGCACCGTGCCAGGGCTCTGTGTGCCTGCCATGGCTCTGCAGTGCTGCCAGGGCCAGGCTGCCCTTCCCCAGCAGGCTGCTCCAAGCAGCAGTCAGCCACACAGGCAGGATGTGTGTGCCTAGCGCGTTACATGTGCCTGCCATGCCGTGGGCACATGGACACAAGTCCAGCCTACAAAGGCCAAGTGTACCACTGTCACCTGGGTCCCACAGTGCCATGGGTCAGTCCCATGGCGTTCCTGCATGCTATGTGTGGATTGCTTCATCTGTGTGCACTGGCTGCTCACCGCCGCGTGTGTTTGGGTGAGACTGCGTGCTGTGCGCGGCCCCGGTGCCCTTTGCTCCGCACACACACCGGGTGTCCGTGTGGCACGCAGGCTGTGTGTCCGTGTGGCCCGCAGCAGCTGCAGGCAGGCGAGTGCTCCCTCCGCGCTGCAGCGGCTGCGGCGGGGCCGGGTGAGCGCCTGCAGCCGTGCGCCTGCAGATGGGCTGGACCTGCCTAACGCGAGCCGAACGAACAAAACGTTCAGGTCAGGTATTGCACGTGGGGCTCGACGCCAGGCAAGTGCAGAGATGCTCCAACTTGGGACAGTGTTGGGCTGGAGGGGTGCTCTGCCCTGGGCTGCCGGCAGCCCCTTCCTCCCGAGCTGGGTCCTTCCAGGCTGGGTGTCCTTTGCTGCACATGCTGCTCCAAACCGGCTCCTCCGG